TTGATTCGTAAAGAGGATGCGAGTGTATTTTAACTGAGATATCGTTGATTACTAGGAGAATTAAACTTTTGTTGATTGATTTGTTTGGCTACAATCTTTACAATTTTTCTATGGCGACTTAGTGTCTATCTTCTTTGTGCATTTTTCCTTGTTTTGGGGGGGGCGGATATTAACCATGTAACCAACATTTCCATGTAGGAAGGAATCAGCAAAGATGGTCAAGTCAGAACAGGGCAATTCTGAATTTGTTTTGAAGCTGCATGTAAGTAGAAAACATACTATTGGTGCTTAGGTTATATATTACAGGTCCATAAAAATAGTACAGTTTTCTGAAGTTGCTTTTATTTTCATAAAATTTTGTTGAAGATTAAGCAACTGTCTTGTGTTCATATGATAGCACAGAGCTGCAGCGATGAAGGGGTTGTTCATTCGGGGAGAGGCTCCACCACTGACATGAACCACTTCTATTATAGCTGGAGATAACATATTTCTTTCATTTTGTTGCTTACTGTATAGTTTTTGAATTTCTAAGTCCTCCATGGAGATTTGGGGAAGCAAATTTTTGAATGCAATAATTTAGCTCTTGCATTTTCTTTATGAATTCCCCCTATAAACCCAGAAGAAATGGCATTATAATGACCAGATACCTATTGTTTGAAATTTTATTTGTATATAAAGTTTTCTTCCTATGTAAAGTTTTTCGGCAGCATAGGTTCTGCTGCAAACCCTCGCTTCTCTCAAGTCCAGTTCGGTCAGGCCAGAGTCAGACTATTCCCATGCCTTTGTCGGTCATTCACTTGCAGCCCCATCTTATGCGGAACTCGGTTTAAAAGATCAGTCAACTGTGACACCACCAGCTTTTCCAGCAGAGAGGGGGGAAATAAGGTTTCCTTTAACCGAACGTACCCTGTTGTTTTTTGCCAGGTCTGAGTCTCCGGGAAGAGCAAGAACCAGAATGTAGGAAGTGAAACATGAGTTTAAAAAAAAAAATCACAGCAGGAAGGGGGCAGATTGGGGTGAAAGGGAGAGACAGGGCTTGCAAAACAGGCTCCTAGTGTTTCAGAGCTCTGATTGTTGGGAAGAGTTAAAGACAGATTCCGTGAAGGATGCACCTGATTCTGCACCTGGTACTACATCCCTCAGTATCCACCTGGAATCAGTTCCAGGACCCCCTACGGATACCAAAATCCAAGGATGCTCTTCCTCACATACAGTGGCTCGGTATTTGCCTATAACCCCACTCGCACCCTCCCTTGAATTTAAATTCTCCAGATTACTTTTAATGCCTAATGCGATGTCAGTGCTATGTATACACAATGTGTAAAAGCTATGTAAATAGTTGCCAGCTCACAGCAAATTCAAGTTTTGCTTTTGGAGACTTTCTGGAATTGTTTTTTTCCTGAATATTTTCTATCTGCAGTTGGTTGAATCCACAGATGCCAAACCCATGGATGCCGAGGACCGACAGTGTGTCCTTAGTGCTGAGTACATGGGCGACACAGAACTGATAGTTAAACAGCTTGGCAGAAAACTAGCCAAGCTCGAGGCGGCAGCTTCCTGGCATTCCATCAGATGGAGGGCGGCTAGAGCAGTTGAGAGAGGAGCGAGTCTTCAAAGGGTTCCATTTTAATTACACACTAGTTGGAGAATATGACTTTCAGAACCCCCCAACCCCCGCTACCTGGGTTCACTTCCAAAACCTAATGGAGTTATATTGGCCAAAGGAAAGGTTTCCAAATCACAGTGACAACTTCCCTCCCCAACCTCCACACGCTTTGTCTTCATACAAGCGCCAGCTCAGCTCAAGGGATTTTTCAACTCTGCAGAGAATTAGCTCCCTCTTGCCTCCCTATTTCATTAAGAAATTGGCAAGAGACCAAAAAAAAAAAAAGAAAAAAAAGAAAAAGAAAAAGAAAAAGGGATGTGTTCTCCTACAAAAGAACACATGATTTCCACTGCCCCCAAGAACCTGTGAGGATTTGAAACCAAGGATTTTCAGGACCAACCAAGTGGTCTTGAAAAGTGTTGTTGTCCTAAGTGTCCCAAGTTGCATTTCCTGGTCTGGAGGCTGCTCCCAAAACAATCTGATTGGTTTTTTTTAACAGAGTCTCTGATTTACAACCACTGGAGCTTGTACATAATGAAGATGCTTTCAGCCAGGCAGGACCCTCTGAGACTCAGTGAGGAAAAACATGAGAGATGTTTAGGGAGGCAATATCTATTAGGCACTGACTGTATGCTGGGTGCTTATCACCTCCAGAGGCACTTACTTAATGCACATTTGTTGAATAATGGCTGCAGGGACAAAAGAACACGGGCAGTTGGCAACATTTCCTATTTCAGTAAATCCCTACAACTCAGGAGAGTTGGTCACTTTATTCCCATTGCAGAGAGAAGGAGACTGAGGCTCGGGGAGTGTCGTGGGTTTGCTCAGATTCTCAAATCTTGGGGAAACAGCAAAGGGAAGCTTCACCCCTAAGTCTGGTACCTAACAGGATTTCATGGTGGTCAGACCATGATGGTGAGGGTAGTGCCCTGCAAGGCTGTTTACAAATGGCTTCATGTTATTGCAAGTGCTTGTGTCCTTGTAACTGAGTCTTAGTTTCCCCCTCTATGTGACAGGATCTAAGAATGTTCTTCTCGTGGGCTGCTTGTGAAAATTAAGAGAGAAACTCAGGTAGGACCCCTGGCACAGTCCCTGAGACAATGCAGGGCTGGATAAGCCACTGTATTACAACTAACAAAAATGGATGTCATTTCAGTGGAAAGAGAGAGAACTCTTCATCCTCACTGGGAAAACCCTATTTCCACCTGAGTGACTCTGGGCCACGCTGGGTGAAGTTGACTCACCTACAGTAAGTTTTTCCTAGAGCTTGCGCTGTGACCTTGTCAAATCGATGCCTCGCGGCTTTATCTCATGTCAGATAATAACTCACGGCTTTATCTGTACATGGATACAGCCATCCGCAGCCCATCTGCCTTCAAGAGAGCCTGTCACTGAGAAAATAGATACAGAAGTGAATAAAAGTGCTTTAAGAATATAAAACACATTCTCGATCATAAATGTCATAAGAAAATAAATGTCATCGCGAGAGATGTGCAGGAGAGCTAGCTTTGTACCTTTCACCTCGGGTACCACCCAAATAGCTACCTGCTGCTCCCCGGGCTCCCACCCCAAGCCACTCCAGAAAATGGGCTTTAAAAACCTTTTAAAATGTAAAAATGCAGTCATCGTCCACTGAACACCCTCAGTGGTTTCCCCGACACTAGGAGCAGATCACACACAGTCTACAGAGCCCGAACTCTAGGTTCAAACCCCACAGCTGCCACGTTTAGTGGCAATTGCCTTGGGCAAGTTATTCTGAACCTCAGGACCAAACCCAAGCTTACTGCTTCTAGAATTCTTCACCTACTCTTCTCTCTCTCCAAAATCTTCTCACTTCCTGTCCAGAGGCTCCCAGATACGACCATATTTCCCCAGATGCCCCAGAAATAACCAATGACATCTGCACAATTTCTGTGGACCCTAGTTCAGAGGTCAGCAAACCCTGGCCATATCCACGTCCCAGCTGTTTTTTGTAAATAAAGTTTTATTGAAACTCAGCCACTCCCCTTCATTTCCATATCCTCTGGGGGCGGCTTTCTCACTAAAACTGCGCAGTTGAGTGACTGCCACAGAAACCATAGGATCCTCAAAGCCTAAAATATTTACTCTCTAGATGGCCCTTTACTGGAAAAGCTTGCCAATCCCTGCCCTAGTGCAGTGGCTCTAAAACTAATTTCAGGTGTTGAAAATCTAATGTCATGATCATTTCTGTTGAAACATATAAATGTCACTGTATCCAACAGAAATTCATTAAATATAGATGTTGTGCTAAATTGGATATCATTTATAGTGCAAATTTTTTAAAGCTGCAGTTTGGGATGGAAAAATGTTAAACTGGGAAAGAAAAATACGCTGTTCATCAACTTTTTTTTTGGATAATGGATTGGGCAAAACATCTTAAATCAGATGCATCAAACACCTAGTATGCCAGGCCCCCTGATAAGTAATTTTACAGGTGTTAATGCATTTAACTGTCACGACAGCTCTGAGGTTAAAAATGTTATTATTTCTACAGGCAGTCATAAATTCTGGAAATGAAGGGAGATGTATATAATGTCACCAAGGAAATCTTCCACCTATAAGTAAAAATAAAGAATCTCTGTCTTCAGACTTTATGGACAAAGCTGGATTTTGTGGATTAAATACTGAGGTTGAAATTGAGAGAGCAGTTGCCCAAAGTTGCCCAGGAGGTGCAGTGATGGAGAGAGGGGTCAGGTTGGCTGTCAAAATCAAGTTCTTGTAGGTTTAACCCTGCGGCTCCATTGAATCAGCCAGCATTCTGTAGGACCAGAGTGTCAGGGTGCCCGTTGGATACCCACCCTGGGATTTGAATCCATTTTGCCTAGACTGGAGTTGTCTCTCTCTCTTTATTTTTTTGTGTCATTTCACATATCTTGGGCTCCCCAACCGTGTTGGTTCTGCTCTTTCTGGTCTAAGATCATCCCCTTTGATGGATAAGACAAAAGCAGATGAAGAGTTGAGTCTTCTTGACTTCTCACTGTCATCTTTTAACTCTACACGTCAGCCTCCAGCAGTGTGCATATATCTTGCTTTGTTCCGATTCTCACCAGACCTCGAAAGGCCTGTGTGTGTGTCTACATGTGCATGCCTGTGCATACACGAGCACCTTACTGGAGCCGGGTTTCTGGAGCTAGCCTGTCTCTGTTCCCATCCTGGTTCCCAATTACTGGTGGTGCCGCCTGGGCTGGTTACCGTCCCCCTCTGTGCTTCATGCGCCTCCTCCGCAAGGCAGGGTTGTAATAATACCTGAGTCACATGACTGTGATAAGGGGTCAAAGACACAATGTCGAAGGCCATGATTTTAGCAAGGAGCCTGCCACGCCCCAGGCACGTGATGGTGCCAACCGCAGTGGTGGCTGTTATTCAGCGTTGAGTCCAGGTTTCTATCTTCCCAAAGATCAGGTTTCTTTGTTTTATTTACCCTCGAGTACATGTATGTACCTTTACAATAAGTTGAAAATTCCTCTCCCCACTCCACGACAAAGAAATGTGTCCCCCCAGAAGCTGTGAATGTGACCTTATTTGGAAAAAGCGTCTCAGCAGATGTAATTAAATCAAGGATCTCAAGATGAGATCCTCCTGAATGAGGGTGAGCCCTAAATCCAACAAGTGTCCGCAGAAGAGAAGGCAAAATGACACACAAGAGAAGGTGGTGTAAAGATAGAGGCAGAAATGGGAGCAATGTGTCCACAAATCAAGGCACCCCGGAGATTGCCAGCAACCACCTGGCAGCTGGAAGAGGCAGGGAGTGATTCTGCCCTAGAGCCTTGAGAGGGAGCCTGGCCCTGCCAACACCCTGACTTTGGACTTCTGGCCTCCAGATCTGTGAGGGAACACATTTCTGTTGTTTTAAGACACCCAGGGGTAGTTTCTTACAGCGGCCCCAGGAAACTAACACAGCCTCCCTCCATCTTCCTTCGTCACCTTCCACTCGAGCACCCGACCCCCATTTCTCCAGGTGTGGCTGTGTGTCCTCCAAGGAGCTTTGCATCTGGGCTCTGCTGTGTTTCTGGCCCAAATACTTTGCCTTCCTGAGCCTCCATTTCCTAATGTAAAGCATGACTAGCAATGCCCGCTCATACGGTCGTGGTAATAACAACGCTCAGCAGTGCTGTCAGTAGCCACTGCCTGTTGAGCCCGGGCAGGGGCCAGGCGCTCTCCCCCGCGCATCATTCCACGTACTCCTCACGGTAACCCTGCGAGTGGGCGCTTCCCCGGTCCCCTGCTAGAGATGAAGAGGCCAAAGCAGACAGAATTTCAAGTAACTTGTCCCAAGTCGTGTAGATGGATGATCTTGTGTTCATGGTTTGGGCAAATCTTTCCTGAGAATGCATTGTGCTTACGCACAGGGGACGAGAGGCGAGGAAGTCAATGTCCCTCCCTTAGCAGAGCTTGTGTTCTGATTGGAGAGACATAAATTTTGGAATGTTCTGAGCATTCTGCCAGCCTGTGCTAATCATTTCATAAATATGTCTGCCCACTGCTCTCTGACTCGGATTTGGAAAATAAAGGAGAGAAATTGAGTAGCTTCAAGTTCATGGTCACTTTCTCCCAAGGCCGTGTCACTTGTATTTAACCAATGGTTCCATCTCCTGGGCCTGTAGTTCCTCCCCGGTACTTCCTTAGCTGTCTGGGAAACCCCGTGTCAGCATCGGAGCTGGTGCTGTTCTCAGATGCCCTGGTGAGAGGGGAGTCAATCTCCAAGAAACTCAGAGGCCCTGGGGAAGCCTCCCACGCGCCCTCACCCCACGATGGGGCCAGCTGCCCAGGCAAAGGACGGTGCCCTCACCCAGCTGCCCCCTTCACTCGCCACGCCCGCTGGAGCTTGTGAATTTCCAAGGTTGAGCAGCTTCCTTTTCTCCTCATTTCATCTGTATTCACATCGTCTCTGGGGGTTTTGCAACCTCAAGTTTATTCCTTTCCCTTCCTTTTATTAATTTTTCAAGTGATTTTTAATTGCCTAAGTGAAATGTTTTTGTATAGAAAACAGCACAGAGATATATTAAAAAAAACACATAATTCCAACCTGCTTCCCCCTTTAATCCAAACCACTGATGTAACCAAGACCCCTGGTCTCCCCTGATCTCTAGTTGTTACCGAGTCCAGACTGGTTCTGCTCACTGCACGACAGGCCAGTAAATTGGGAGATAAGGTGTTGGGGCAAGGAATAATGACTTTATTCAGAAAGCCAGCAGACCGAGGAGATGGCAGACTAATGTCCCGGAGAACCATCTTCCCCAAGTCGGAATTCAGGCTCCTTTTATACTAAAAACGGGAAAGGGTGTGGCTGGCTGTTGCAGACGTCCTGGTGTCAGAATCCTTCATTCTTGCAGCTGTCCACGTGGGTCAGGTCATGGTGCCCCTGTAAACCTCCAACAAAACAAATGTTATTTTCTATTCTACAACTTTTTATCTCTATATGAATGGAAAAGTGTTATGGCCTTAAAGGTCAGAGCCTTGAGAATGGGCTGTCCTGTGTTATTTCAGGCTGCAGGCAACATTCTTTTACAGAAGGTGCAGAGCCAGCGTGACTGAGCCCGCGAAACGGAGCACAAGGTTAGAGCAAGGGAACAGCTCATGTGGAGGCAGCTTTGTTCTTCTCTATTACATAGTGACTGCCCCACTGATCTCCCTGCAGCCACTCAGTGTCACCCCCGTCTCCCTTTGGTTGGCACCCCTGCTCTGGACTGACCTTTCTGACATGTGAGTCCAAACAAATCACCAGCACCCCAACCCTTACTTAAGTCAAAGTGAGAACTTCTTAGTGGGGCCTCCAGGGTCCTGTGAGCTGGCGGTGAGACCACATTCCTCCTTCCCTCCACTGGCGTCTCATCCCAGGGTGTGCCACATCCCCAGCCATGACCTTGAAGCTGGCTGGACCCATTTTTCAACCTTAGCACCGTGCAGTCTTACATTCGTTTGTGTGATTCTTTACCTCTCTCCTCCAGAAAACAGAAAGGTCGCTTTCTGCTCACTGTATTATTCCTGGCACCCAGCACGATGCCCAGCTCATAGGAGATACTGAATATATTTTTGTTTGCTTTCTATCTTTTGCCCCTCTCTATTGCCTTTCTCTGCAGCAAAACTATTGTTCTCCTTGGGTCACAAGTATGATCCAGAAAAATTAATTGTCTTCCCTGACCTAATCTGAGAGTCCTTCATTCCTCACCTGGTCCCCTGGGGACCTCCAAAGTGACCAGTTGTGCCAGGACCTTCTTAGAAATATTCAACAACACCTTTATGTGTATAAACAAAGAACCCCCATCCCTTAATAGCACCTTTATGTGTATGAATAAAGGACCCCCATCCCTAACATGACTTCGTTCCATATCGAGAGACCCAGTGTCTCCTTTGGTTTATATTTTAGCAAAAAAGGAGCAGCTCTTTGCTTTACTCTTATTTCCCTACAATCTGTCCACTGATGAGCTTTTAAAAAAATATAAACCAGATGATGGCAGAACCCTTTCAATGGCTTCCATTGACCCCGAATACAATCCAGTCCTGCCTCCCCAGCACCTTCGCTTGGTTCCCTCTCTTCCTCTAAACCTTGATCCTGAGCATCCTTCCATTGGCCACACATTCCGTGCTTGGTTGGACTCGTGCCCTTACCCTAAGCCATGGGCATCACCCTTGGATACACCTTAGAGTCTCCTGGCAGCTGTATCTTTTAAATATCTTCTCAATAGTCAAGTCTCAGCTGAAATTTTCTCTCTGCCAAGAGCCCACCTGCGATCATCCTGGTGACACGTGGCCCCCCACACGCTCAGCTCCACTGCATCCCATCCTCCAGCTGGGCATGAGTGACTTCTGGATTTCTGTACATGGTCATTGTTCCTCTCCCTCCCTGGAGGATAAACTCCAGGTGGGCAGAGATCTACCGTGGTGGTTTCTCACTCACATCCAGTGTGTCCCACGGCCCTAGCATGGCCTAGCTGCTCAGTAATTATCTACTGGAAAAATGATATGCAAATGCACAAATGAATTGATAAATAGGTGAGTTAATATTTTAAAATAAAACAGGGCATGAATCCCACTTCTTTGTTTTAAACTGCACTATTGTGGCCTCAGACCCCTTACACCTATCCCATAACCAGTACAGCCATCATTTTCTGTTTATATGCATATCTGAGCATTTTCTCAAGCAGTTGGACTTGGGGAAGTTGGCTGAAGGTCAGTGTTAATTTAATATGCTAGCTAACATCCGATCTTTCAACCTTCTGCTTTATAAAGAGGCACTGTATGTACATTTTTACAAATAGTCTGAGGCATTGATCCGTAGAACTTCTAAAGTTTACTTCCATTAGAAAGAGTTTCAGATAAAGAGCAAATTAATTAAGTCTCCCCCCTCTTAAAGTTCACCTTAATTAGCCACTGTTTCTTTCTCCCTGGCTTAGTGATTGGCTGGGTTTCAACCTGGACACAGAAGAATTAAGGGGGAGCCACGCCTGGTGCAGCCCTCGGTTCTCTGCCTGGACTTGCAGAGCGTGTAGGAAAAATAAGCTACTGAAAGAAGGCTGAATCCAGGGGAGTGAAAAGCTGTGGCTCGTTGCATAAGTGAATCCCAATTTTCCTTGCTGAAATAAACAGTTGCACCGGAAGTGCTATTTGATTTTCTTTTTGCCCCTGAAATGTATTCTTTGTGAGTTTCACTGAACTTTGAGGCTTCTGATTTGAGCCCACGTGTGCTCGTGGCTAGTCTGGCTGTGGAAGCTCCAGCAAGCAGGTCTGTTTCAGGGGTACATCGATAGCTTTCCTCTTCCAGATCATAGCCTTGGACTCAACAGTAGGAGCGTCTTCCAGCAGAGGCTTTCTCGATGTCCCGAGATGCCCTTTGCCCTGTGTCTCGTCTAGCCTTCAGAGTGTCTTATAGCACCATCTCTGGTACTCAGGGAACAGGTGCAGTGACTGTGAAGCAATGTAATGTGTCGCACAGATGATTTTAAAAGGAGTCGTGAAATGGATGTGTCTGACAAAACTATAAGGTTTAATTTGTTCCTTCCGAGAATAAGTGATGTTGTGCCAGGGGCTGTCAGCAGTAAATCATCGGCTGATTTAGATCACACCCCTGCAATGGAGGCTCAGGAGCCTCCTTTCTGGCAGGTGCAGGTCAGGGCTGATGAATCCATCCTGTTTGGGGCTGCCATATGTTTGCAGCTTTGCATCCTCGGGGAGTAAAAAGGATGGGAGTGATTAACACTCCAGTAATTGCTTGTGTGCTAGGTAAGAGGGATCACATTCCTCTTCCTCCAGGGAGCCCTCCCTGATTAGCATGATTGGAGCCCAGTTTGCTCCTTCCTGTTTAGCACTCCACACGATGGTGCTCTCCATTAGAGCTGTGCTGTTGTGGGGCACCCCTGTCCTGGGTGGAACCTGGGAACAGGTGTACTCAGGTGGGTCCTCACCTCATTAACATCATCCTTCTCGATGGTCAGAGCACCCCAAAGGCAGGGGCCAGATCTGTCCTGCTTAACCCCATGGCCCAAGTGCCTACACAGCATGATTTCTGGTGCATGATAAGCTCTCCAGACTTACTTGGAGAATGAATGAAAGAATGAATGAATGATAGGGCATGTTCCACAGGTGGGTCCTTTGCCTGGAATAAATAAGAACTTTTGGAAGGGAGGGAAGCAGGAAGTAAAGATGGGAGGATCAGAGGTTCGGGGGTAGGGGGGTCAGAGAAAAGGGAAGGAAGGGAGGGAGGGAGGACCTCAGTGAAGGGCTAGGTAACCCCTGGCTCTGTCTCTTTCCTGCTGTGATACAATGCATTTTTATTTCTCAGAGCCTTATCTTCCCCTTTGTAATCGGGTGCTAAACCTTCCCTAGAGGGTGAGAATGAGGACTTAAGAGTTGGCTTATTTCCAGCGGCAGCCATGTTGTTCAGTGAACACTGCCTTCTCCACATGCACTCCCCTTTTTTTCGGTGTAACATCCTGGTGTTGCTAATCCACCCAGAGAGGAGGATCAAGTAGGTGATAGCCATTCATTTTGAGTCCTCCTGTGGGTGCTTTTCCCCAGTCCCTATCTCACAGTGGGGCCTTTATAACACCCCCTGAATATCCTCTAGGCACCCCCAATCCCTCACTTTTCACCCTTCCTCTTGCAACATTTCTGTTCCCTCAGATGGCAGTTGCTGGCGAGCTGTAAGGGATGGAAAGTGGCCTGAAACTCAGGTGGGAGGGACTAATGACCACTTCCGGTGGACCTTGGGTCAATGGCATCCTGAGAAGATGCTCTAGCAACTCAGAGAAGTTATCATTTTTCCCATTTAGCAGAAGAAGAAAGGGAGGCTCTGAGAAATGAAAGTCACACTGCGAATGGTGCCCTTGGGGACCCTGGAGCAGGTGTGTGTGTGTGTGTGTGTGTGTGTGTGTGTGTGTGTGTGTGTGTGTGTGTGTGTGTGTGTGTGTGTGTGTGTGTGTGTGTCAGGGAGGAGGCAGCCCGGGTTGGCAGGAAGGTTTGAGCGGTGTCCTGCAGACTGCAGTGTGTGGGCAGCTGCCTTCTCCATTTATGGTGAACCTGGCTCTGTGGAGAGATGTATCTAGAACGTTGCACAGGCTCAAAGATCTCTGGAAACGGAGTGCGGTGAGCTTGTCGGTACAATCTTCGCTGTTTCGGTCATTTGCTAAGTCAGGTCCCCAGCAACTTCAAAGTGGTCTCCATCATCACATCGGGAGTGGAAACAGCTCAAGATGGGGTGAGTCACGTTCTGACACACGCCCACGCCCTGGGGTTGAGTTGGACTCTGTTTTCACCAAAATAAAGCCCATGCTTCGCATACGAGGTTATGCATGTTGGCAAGAATGATCGCTGATGATCAGTCGTGAGCGTGAACCAGCCCGCCTTGCGAGGACCGACGGCTTTACACAAGATTTTCAGAGGAGCAGGTGCTGTTCCTGGGGCCCCTGTCCCCACCTCCACGAGAATGACAGGGACCTCCCAGGAGCAAGCAGACAGGGAGCATGGGTCCTACTGGAAAGTGTCAGTGACACCCCCTATCTTGGTCATTTAAGTTTCCCCTAATTAATGATCAGCAATGTGGCAGAGAAGCAAAAACTTGGGTTTGGAATACAGCAGCTCTGGATTTTAATTCTGCCCTTGCTAGCTGTGACCTCTCTGACCCTCAGTTTCTTAATTTATATGCCACCCACCTAGGGTTGTTAGAGCAACGTGGTTAAAACATACTTTCTGAAGTCAGAGCAGGTTGTGAAACCCAGATTCACCGCTCAGTATTATGAACTGGGGAAAGCTACTTAACCAAGCCCAGACTCAGTTTCCTTGTCTGTGAAATGGGTAGATTCAATGACCACCTGCATTCAAGTGTATACTATGTGTGTGGCACCGATTAACGGCTCAGTGATGGTTCTGTTGTGAGGGAAGCAATATTTTCTAGTTAATTTTCATGTTAAGATGTTTATAGTCCCTAGACATTGGCTTCTGTTAAGTAGCTGTAAAGTGTAAATATGTTTAGAATTAAGATGGCAGCTCCCCCCCACCCACCTATCCAGTTGCATATTGCCCTAACTGGCTTTATTTTCCCTCAGACGCTTCTCACCGCCTGGCATGTTACTTGGTTATTTATGTGTTCTTGCCTGGTTCCTCTGAAGAGTGTGAGCCCCCTGAGGGCAGGGGCTTCGTTTGATGCATGCCTATGTCCCTGATCTGAGAACAGTGCCCGGCACATAGTAGCGGCTTAGTAAATGCTTGTCAAATGACTTAGTAAATGAAATGAATAACTAAATGGACACAGAGGGTCTAGCCCAGCGTGGAGCACAGACCAACCTCTCCTACCTGTACCAGTGACCCATGTCTCTGTCCTGCAGGGGGAAGACGTCAAGAAGCAAGTGCTTTCACTTCTCCCTTGCCATTCATTGCAAAAGTTAGTTCCCACTAAATTTCACAGCCTGCATCTTTTAGCCATTTCATTCAGCCTTAGGAAGAGCCACGGGGGCCCACGCAAAGAAAAGTGACCGGGACCAATGGGGCATTGGCAGACTGGTGGTCACCATAGGGAGGTTCCCCTCAGTGTGCTCCACCCCTCCCCAGGAAGGCTGAATGCCTTGCAAGTATTTGGCCCTAATATTTTACATTTCCTCAATTCTGAGGACACGCCATGAGCTGCACCATGGATTTCAAAGCAGCACTTGGGGGCAAACATGAGGAAGGGGCTCCAGCACATGAAATAGTCATTTTGCCAGTTTTAGACATATTGCCATGCTCGGTGCCCTCGCCTCAGAATCAGAGAAGTCTGGTAACTGGCCACTGTCCCTCGAAGGTTGCTGTCTTCCATCTGCAAAGGTCTCCTTGGCCATTAATCCACACGTCCCTGAATTATCACTGAAGTGCTGAGAATGTAGGTGCTGCTATGCTAAATGGCCCTGTGAACAAGCAGGCTCAGAGAGGGACGGTCCCAGACCAGGCGAGGGAGGTCTGAGGCTTGTGCCCTTGCGTGTCTGCCTGACTCCAAGCCTGGAACTTCGGTGTCCATGGCTGGAACCCTGAGCTGAAATCTTGATGAGCAGGTCTTCCCCACTGGGAAGCTGAATGAGACAGGGAAAGACTCCAAGGCTGGGGCTTGGGGGTCTGCAGAAGCAGGACCAACACTGCGGGTCCTCACCCAAAGCACTGGGAGATGCTGAAAGCAAAGGAACATGAAAAACGGAAAATCAAGAAAGCCTGACGTGTGGCCCCAAACAAGGACGATACAGACAGGAGTGTGTTTCCTGGGATTCAGAGTAAATGAGAGCAAGATGAAAACAATAGAGGGTGTTGGGTGGGGGAAAGGGCAGAGTTCTGAACAAGACCTTGGACAGCCACGGAAATGTGGGATCAATTTCTACAGGTCCGTTTCACTATTTTAATGGTGGGAGGTGATGCCTGGGGCCCTCCCCTCACAGAAGCGGGTGTGGTGGGGCTTTTCTGTGCTGAGCGCCCAGGTTTCCTGTCTTGACCCCCTCCTCCCTTTCCACTCTGCCTTTCTCATCAGACAACCTCAGAAAAATACTGCTGCTTCTGCTTTCTATTCTGTAAGACTTTGCTTCCCCTTCCTGCTGGTCAGGAGAAAATCATCACTGTAGTTGAAAGAAAATGTTACCATCCTCTCTCTCTCTGTCTCTCTCTCTCTCTTCTCTCTCTCT